GTGGTCATAAATCCCGATCCTAGTCAATCTAGACTGGATCATATCCCGGCTTTGGTCTATCTCAGACTCAGCCATATACCCTTAACTCGGATATCCACTATTTTAGCTCTTCGATCATAGTCCTTGGCTATGTCGGATTCCGACCTTGGTCTTTCTTAGACTCGGTCATACATCCCAATCCTAGTCAATCATAACTAGATTGTACCCCGACCATGTTCCTCTCAGGACACGGCCACATATCCCTAACATAGCTCCTTTCTCGCTAAGTTAGATTACCAATCATAGTCTTCCCTAACTTGATCCTAACCTGACCATAGTCCTACCCGGACTTGGTCAATCCCCCTCGATCATAGTCTCTGACTATATCGGATCCCGACCATAGTCATATCCAGACTTGGTCAAATTTTCCTTGATTATATTCCTTGACTATATCGCATCCCGACCATAGTCATATCCAGACTTGGTCAAATCATCCTCGATAATAGTCACACAGACTATATCGTATCCCGACCCTAGTCCTTCCCGGACGTGGTCAACTTTTTCCCATCATAGTCAACCAGACTATATCATATCCTGACCCTAGTCCTTCCCGGACGTGGTCAACTTTTTCCCGATCATAGTCCACGACTATGTCATCTCTTGGCCTTGGTCTTCACTAGACGCTGCCATATTTTTCCTAATGTGCGCCTCTCTCGCGTCTTACCATTATCTTGAATCCGCGACTTATTTCTGTGCGCACTCAAGTGACTCAACTATCTGGCAAGCTCTCTGTTCACGGTTATGCCTTAGCAACTCTCCCAGTTTCCAAGCACATTTTCCGATCTTACCTCAATTGCCTAGACCAGCTGAACACCAATATAACCCTGATTCAACTCTGAATCAAAATAAAATCCGAGCACTAGTCCCGCATAGTAATACTGTCTATGGTACGTATCTTGGCCGCCCTAGATCTGCCTTAGAGAACCACTTTCCCGATTTTTAAGCGCTAATCTTAGCTGCTTCAACTACCATTAGACTCAGTCATGCCACTGTGAGCTAGCTACCATGATCATTGATTTATCCCGACCATTCATGGTCCCTTTCTACGGTTACCACCGTCTTTTACTCATGATCATAGTCACCTCCTGACCAGATCATAGTCTTCCTCAGTCAACTGACTGTCTCATGATCTGTGCTCCAGCTTAACCATCGCTTAGTCATCCAAGACTAAGATCCGGTTTTGCACTACTAACATCCCATGTTTCCTGTTAGGATCGTCACAAGTTCTCCCCCACTAAAAGAATTCGTCCCAGAATTTCAGTGGCAGTAAGAATCTTGTTTCGATCCTCTTTCTGACTCTCCTTTTGATCCCCCACCCATCATGCATAGTAGCAATGACCTCCGAGAAGTATCTTGATCATTGAACAAGCCTTGGCAAGAACACTAGACTCCCAAGTACTTGTCTCAACATCTCAACTTTGGACCATGTCATACTACTACAATGATCGAGCTTTTCTGTCCCTGAGCATCTATCCTTTCCTAGGATCAAGCATGCTCTGATACCTACTTGTAACACCCCGACCCGGCCATCCTTGACCCCGGTACGAGGGTTACATGTTCAAGCCGCATTCCCCGGCTGAACCTCCCTTCTAAGCCTTTACTTAGCAAAATCTCCTCTATGAGGTTTGATTGCTTAGGCTATCTTATGCAGCGGAAATCCCTTAGTATTTAAAACTATACTTTTCCTTGGTTTTAGCTTCACCAAGCACTTGCCGGTCTGATGATCTCTTGCTTTCGGTAGTCCACTTGACCACCGTTCAGCTCGGAGATCGATCCTTGACTCGGAGCAAGCTAAACATATGCATCAACCGTTCCATTTCCCTAGACCATTCTACTTAGAACTAGGTTAGCAGTGACTATCCAGGTAGTAACATTCCAGCTACGGACTAGTCAACATCCTAGCCATTCAGCTCAAGTCTTAGTCTAGTCGATACCCTAGCTATTTCAATCCAGCTACAGTCTTAGCTAATTCATACCTTAGCCATATCCACGAGGTGTAGCTGCACCTTGACCAGCTCCTTTATCGCTCCAGTCAGCTTATTCACCATCTCAGATCCTTCCTTAGTCATTCAACCAACCATCCCCACATGACTAGCATAGATCAGAGAGGCTATTCAGCCCCATGGCATGACTAGGGTCGTCCCTTAGGATCGCCAGTTCATCCATGTCCTTCCCCTTGCGGTTTAGTCCAACCGCACACTCATTCTCTTGATGACTTCATGATCTCTCCCGATCATAGTCATACCTCTCTCAACCGTAGTCAGAGTTCTCGGATATGGCCTGACTGGAATCGTGAGAAATGATCCCATCCGGATCATTTCATCCGACCATTCATCCTACCGTCACGACCGTTCGCCAACCGTCCAGCTGCCCGAGCTCAACTTCAGCTTCCCGAGCTAGTTTTAGCTCGGTCCTTCAGCTGAAGCCCATCAGCTTCCCGGGCTAGTTTTAGCTCGGTCCTTCAGCTGAAGTCCATCAGCTTCCCGAGCTAGTTTTAGCTCGGTCCTTCAGCTGAAGTCCATCAGCTTCCCGGGCTACTTTTAGCTCTGTCCTTCAGCTGAAGTCCATCAGCTTCCCGGGCTAGTTTTAGCTCGGTCCTTCAGCTGAAGTCCATCAGCTTCCCGGGCTAGTTTTAGCCCGTTCCTTCAGCTGAAACCCATCAGCTTTCCGAGCTAGTATTAGCCCGGTCCTTCAGCTCTCTTGCACCATCCCGGGCTAACTTTGCACCATCCCGGGCTAACTTTGGAACATCCCAGGCTAACCTTTCCCGACCTTCAGTCCTCTACTCCTTTCATCGGCTAAGTCCATATTGTTCTCGGACTTAGCCCTTCCTTCCGGGCCATGGAACAGGGTAATTTGTTTTATCCGACAAGTCTTCCCCATTCTCGACCATGGCCCAGCCCAGCGAACCTAGCAAGGTTCGCGGCCGTTACAATAATCCTACTTCTCTCGGTAATAGTCACGCTTCACCCGATCGTAGTCGAGGACGTCCGGCTATCTCCCGATCGTAGCCTGTTTCATCCGACCATCCCCAAGAGATCTCACGACCCTCGGTAAGGATCCCTCGGTAATCCGGTTACCCCGGATAATCTCTCGGATGAAACTCTTCCCTTCGGTCGTTCTCTCGGTACGATATGATTTCCCTCGGCTATCTTCTCAGTATAGCCGTCTTCTCTCGGTGATAGTCACGATCCGATCCTCGGATCTCTCGTGTCTCCCGACTATCACCGCGAGACTGCCGGGTAATCTTCTTCCCTTCCGGATGTCTCTTCTTTCTCTCAGACGAACATCTATCGCCTGGAGTTTCTCTCGGAAGTAGTCAGCATATAACCGTTTCCCCGGTGATAGTTACGAACCGATCCGGCGATCCTATGCGTCGTTCGGCTATCACCGCGAGACTGTCGGCTAATCCTCTCCTCTTCCGGATATCTCTCCTTTCTCTCAGGCGAACATCCATCGCTCGGAGTTTCTCTCGGATGTAATCACGGCTTAACCGTTTCTCTCGGATATAGTCGCGAACCGATCCACCGATCATTCACATCCCCCGACTATATCCGTGAGGCATCGGAATATCATCGTGATACATCCGGTAAATCTTGTCTCTTGTCGGATATCTCTCCTTTCTCTCGGATATGGTAACGGTATAACCGCTCCTCTCGGATGTGGTCACGGATCGATCCATCAATCCTGCACATCATCCGGCTACCAACGGGAGACATCCGACCATTCTTCTTTACCCCTCGGATAACTTGCCTTTCTTTCGGCTAAGTTTCCATTCTCTCAGATAATTTCCCTTATCCTGATCTTCCCTCGGACATGGTCACGGTAATAACCGCTTCTCTCGGATATAGTCGCGAATTGATCAACAGATCATTCGCATCCCCTGACTATCATCACGAGACGCCGACCATTCCTCTTCGTCCCACAGATAACTTGCCTTTCTCTCGGCTAAATTTCCTTTATCCCGATCATCCCTCGGCGATTCCCATTTATCCCGATCATCCCTCGGATATTCTCTATTTCTTCCGGATGATCTTCAATCTCTCCCGGGTAATTTCCCTTTCTCCCGGATGATGCCGGACTACTCTCAGACATGGTCGTAGCACTCCGGCGATGACTCGACTGGAATCCGGACATCCCTGTTTCTCCCGGACCATCTCTGATTCTATCGGATGATCCCCATTTTCTCTTGGATAAATCCCCTTTCTCCCGGACAATACCGAACTTCTCTCGGATATTGTCGGAGCACTCCGGCGCCGACTGGACTGGAGTCCGGATATCATATTTTCTCTCGGATATCTTGGGGATAAATCGCCTTAGGCGTGAGAGATGTCATTTTCCACGAAAATACATCTCTTTTATAGCCTATGGGCGGTTTCCATTGTCCAAAACCGTCCATCCTTCGTACCCCAATCTCAGCCATTGATTCTTTCAATGGTCAGGATTGCATCTCTTGGATCACGGGCAGTTATTTGGCCATAACCACTTTTGGCCGAGCTCCACCAGCAACAGCTGACTTACTACTGCCTCAGTCACACCTTAGCTCAGTACCTAGCTGGTCAGTCCGCCCAGCTGGGTCAGTACTCGATCAGCTGGCTGAGCTAGGTTGAGCTGCCGGTCAGCTAGTCCAGCTAGTAGTCAGCTGGTTCAGCTAATAGTCAGCTGGCCCGGTTAGTAGTGAGCTACTCCAGCTCGTTTTGCTCGACTATTCCTGCCAGCTCGACTATACCGACTCATCCATTTTGTCCGACTAAGTCCTTCGGACTTGTTTCTCGACCTTACCTAAGTCGTTTCCTTAACTTGTTCACGATCAGCCCCCTTTGATCTGAACTGAGTTATCCTTATCCACGATACAAACCAGCCCACTATCTCGAGCAGGTTCCGGGCCGTTACAAAATTCCCCAGGAAGAATCCCCAAAACGCTGTTTCATTTCTTTTGTCGGAAAGTCCCTAGCTGACTGTCGAGGGCCTCCTGCTTTGTCACCACCCCATCGAGTTCCATAATTATATCCTTTTCTCCCCTCTTGATATTCGGAGACCTTCCCTTTCCCTTTCCCTTGCATCAAAGCATATGTTGGTTGCGGATCCCTAGCAGACAGTGGAGACCCCATTTTGTCCTGTAGTGCGCCCTTATAACTTGCAGCCCCTTCCTGATTCCTGTCAGCTTTGTACTGAAGCTCCTATTGCTTTTCTCTCTTTGGGTACAATAGTGGGCACCTTCCCGAGTCATGACAAAGACTATTACACTCCCTACAGAACCCATACAACCGTTCATACCGGAGTGTTACCATTGTCTCAATGCCCCCCTAAAACTCCACTAACGTATCAAAGACCAAACCCTTGAAAGCATCGATTTTGAGTTGTACCTTGCCTCCATCAAGATCCACATCTTGGACTTCACCAATGGCCTCCCCAATACTTCTAAAGCTTGTGTCAGCCCAGAAATGCAGTGGAATTCCTATAATGCAGACCTAAAATGTCAGCGCAGAAGGATAATTTGCTTCCATCGAAGGCTCCCATCGCACAAGTACAATCATCCATCCGTCAAAATGGTACGGCACCATTTGTAGTACCATAAGGATGTCTTCTTCCTCATCGAAGTCAAACTGAAACCGCCCCATGCTGAGGTCCGCACCAGCCACTCGATCCTCCACCTTCCAGATCCTCAGGAGCATTTACAATAAAGTATTTATATTTTGGATCGTCGGATTCATGCATTTCCCAATCAGAGTCCTCCAATAGCCTCTGATCAGTTCCGTGTTATCAAAACTGGGAACTGTGATTCTTAACCGGGGGGTTATTGTTACTTCTAGCACCGGAACCAAGATGACCTGCTTGGGACTCCATTATAGCCGAAACGAAGTGAGAATAAGCTCTAGTAATCAAAAAGCTTAAAGAGAGATAACCAATGAGATGTGCAAAAACCAATTCTCTGACAGTACTCTTTATAATATCTGAGAAACCTGTATTACGCCAGTTCCCTGCCTTATCAAATCCGTAAAATCCCTTTAATTTTCCAATCAATCTCCAATAATACCGTAATTCCAGGTCCTGACAGAGACCTAATACCTTTGAAACCTTCCTTTTCTGTCGCTCAATAGTCAGGTTTGATCCCCATATCTCCGGATCTCCCAAATCACCCCACTCGCCCTCCATCGATCCATATATGCAACCTATTAAACTTTCCTTAGTCTGTGTATACCTTAAGGACCGTATCATCAACATTAATCCACCATTAAGTCTAGATGACAAAAAGGATTCTCCAATGTGACACGAGAGTAAATCCCAGAAGTGTGTTTTAACAAACCATAATTTTATACCCTCAACATTACCTTTATCGAGGAAGACCCACTTTGTCGAGTGTCGGAGTTTATACGAAGTCTGTGTGTCCTGCCTATCTGGCTCGATGGAGTCATCCTGAGTACCGCGATTCCGGCATATTCCCGAAGCCCTATCATGATATTGCTCGGAGTCCATCCATCTTCTCACGGTCCCTAGAGATCCCCAGTCGGCGTGTACGAGGACGAAACTGACCCAGAACTGCATCTTCACATTTCTCCCGAGGAGTCTTCGCAGACCATCCCTAATCCTCCCCTGAGCAACAAGAACCATAATCCCGGAAAACCCCTCAATCCCTTGGAAATTTTCTTCACCGCACCTTGAAATTGATCCATCGCTCCCATATCGAATCCAAAATCTCCACCACCGGACTGATTTAGCAGAACTTAATCCGCCATTCACCTCTTTGCCTCGAGAGAATTACGATTGTTCCCCCGTCCTCACAATTAAACACCGCATGCCATAGTATACCAAAGATCGCCTCCGATTGATAATCATAGGTCCCAGGCAAATCTAGATCTCCCTTTGAATCGCCATTTCTCGAGAGGAGAAAAAAGAAGCGTTACTTTTCAAATTTTATAAATATATGGGTTTATAGGAGTTCAAAAAGAAAAAAGATATAGGTTTATCACTGAAAAAAAAACACTGCATTAATGAACTGATTATTTGGTTAATCTGTTTCCATATATAATTAAAAATTGAATGTTTTTTTTCACCTTGTATCAAAATGCTGGTTATAAAAAGCTGTCAAACTGTCAACTTTGATATTTATCTAATACTACTATTATATGTTGTACTTGAAAATAATATCTCTTTTCAGACTTTTATCTAGAAACGTGTTGTTTGATTGCATCAATCCGTACAACTCTACCACGCATTGACTTCTGCAACGGCAACTATAATGCTGCTTTCTGGCCGTATAGCTATTTAAACAAATTCATATATGCTATGCATTGTCTGTTACATTATTTTCAATAGAATTAATATCAGTGAATAAACTTTATTCCGGAGAATAAACTGTATTTTTTTTACATATAATTACAAAATACAAGGCATCATCGTAATTAATTAGTGGGAGCCTTGCAAGTTGGATTACTTTGACCTACAAGTATTTTCGATTCATAAGCTTAATCAAAAGTGATTTGAACATAAATTTTACTAGCTGATCGGTCCGCACCGTGTATATGTTATAAAATATTTTATATGTTAAATATATAATTAATATTATATATTAAATATACTTTATTTGTATATGATTAATATATATTAAATATGCTTTATTTGTATATGATTAATTATGTATTAATAATAATATTATTAAACATCTAATAATTAAAAATAATAATAAATCAAATGAAAAATGTTATAGATTTCAATAGAAATTGAAGATAAAAAATATTAACCGAGATTTTTAAAATACTTCATTAGATAAAAAGTGTAAATATGATAACTAAATAAACTGAAAACATTAAAATATATAATAATTTATTTAATTTTTATGGTTGGCCCGCAGACAAGTATAATTTTTTTATAGACATAATTAGTTGTAATATTTAAGTATTGATTAATTTCTTATACATATGTAAGCATTATGTTTTTATACATATATAGTTTTAGCGTTTAACAATAATCACACAAATATTTCATATCATTTTGTGTCTTTAAAAAACTTATTATGTAAGCATTACGTTTTTATCCATATACAGTTTTAGTGTTTAACAACAATCACACAAACGTTTCATATCGTTTTGTGTCTTTTGAAAACTTTTTATTTTTCTAACGTTTAGAGTAACATATAATTATAAATGTAAAAGTTATATTAAATAATAATTAAATTCTTATAATATGTTTTGAATATTATCTATATTAATTTTTTTTCCCTTTGCACAATATAATCTTGTCAATATATATATTTTAAGTATACATTTTTTCTTGAACTATTGTTAAGTAAACCAAAATAGGTTTTACCATTACTACTTATCCTAAGAGCGGATAGATGGTTTGTCCGCACGAATGTGCGTACCAACCACCTCACCGCTCTTAGGACATATAGAGATTTTTTTTAATAAATATAAATTGACTAATAACTAAAATTAAAATTAGACTGTAATCGAGGGATTAAAAAAATGTATGCATGACAAATTTGCATGCGATTTTGATTTTTGAACAGTTAATATTTATATCTACCTGCATATTTGTGAAAAAGTTGAAGTATGGATATTATGTGTTAACAGAAAATAACAAATATATGTTTTGTAATATATATTCTTATAATGTATGATTGATTTTTTTTATAAAAAAATATGTATATTATGCATGTAGGTATGAGTTATAAATAAGTGAATTGTTATATCTAGGTGTTGGTTAGTTCCGCAAACATTATGATTTTACACAACACAGTTTTTTGGCATTTAACTACAATCACGAGAACTGTTTCTAACGTTTTGTATTTAATCAAAATTTCTTGTTTTTCAGTATTTTATGATATATGGTTTCTCAATCAAAATTATAATAAATATTTATTATAAAATTTGTGAATTCTTATTTTATAAAATTTTCTGGTAGCTCTCCGCTCACCTCTTCGTCAATTTTTTTATAGCCTGCAATCGCTCGCTTCCAGAAACTATATGTAACTGCAGCTTTTAAACCAGCTGGATCCTAAACTTATATGTGTATGGTTGAAAGTGTAAAATAATATATTTAATATTTAATTGTTATATTATAAAATAAGAGTTCTTCTGTTTCTAACTTTGATATATGTGTTAATCTTATATATAATGGATCATAACATATACAAAACTTGATTTATGAAATAAATTTTAAGATGTTGAAAAACATATATGCATGAAAGAATTAATATGTGTAAGATAATATTTTTTAATATTTCAAAATAAAAACATAAAATCGATTAAAATTATTCTTTTTTGTCTTCTTTGACTCATTTTTTTCTTAACTTTGAATAGTATATTAAACATTAAGATCATCTCCAGTGTATTTTTTTATTTTTTCCTCTAAAGTATAGGTAAATTTCTCCCCAACCTATTTCTATTTTAATGGAAAAAGAAAGATTGTTACTTTTTCCTCCAAATATAGAAGAAAAAATAACATCGCTATTTTTCCTCTAAATTAGAAGATTTAAGAGAAATTTGGGTTAGAAGTATTTTATATCAAAGGCATAGCCTGGGAGTTTTATAAAATTTGAGCCACACATGTATTTATTATAAAATTTCTTTCTTAATATTTTTAAAGGACTCCGTAAAACAAAGTTTGAAAGTGTTACGGAAAAAACAAAACTATAGAGTTTTTTTTTACTTCTACTTCTTATTCATATTTGTTTTTTCTTATTTATAATATATTTTTTCATCCAGTTACATTGCGTTTTATTTCTGATCTCAAATTCTCGATCTACAATGAGACTGTATAGATGAGTATGACTATGATATATACTTTTAATTTATTTAAAAAAAGGATAAGAGATAAAATGAAATGGTAACGTAAGGCAAGCTATAGAAATTCCAGAAAACAATAATATAAAAATGTTAAAAAATTAAATACAAATAATAATATATCATACTCCCAACATTATTAATATATAGCGTATATACTATCTTATTGGATAATCTATTATTATTTTTCTATTTAAAAATTTAAAATATATATTGGTTGTAAAATTTTTGTAATAATATTTTATGCAATATATTATGAATCTATGTAAAAAAAATTGAAATCATAGTAATTATTATTTTTTGTTTATTTAAATTTATTATTTTTAGTGTTATAACCTAGTGTATTTATGTTATAATTTTATAATTTATTTAATTATAACTCAGCCAATCAAAATATTTTGTTTATTTTATGAAATTTTCCATGTCATATTTACATGTCACAGTTCCATGTTCAATAATAGTTAAGATTTATATAAAAAAAAAATCTAACTAGAATAATATTTCAAAACAAAAGACAAAACAAAGTTGACTTTTAGTACGGATGGACATGATAAGTGATAAACAAAGTTGACTTTGGTACGGACGGACATGATAGATTGATAGGTGATAAGATAACTTGTTAGATTTCTTGTACACAACAAAAATTCGTTTAATGAAGTTTCTTTTTTCTGTTACCTGTTTAAAGAAAGTCATATCGATCTTTACTATCAACTTTAAAATCTATAATATGATTGAAAAACCAACAAAATGTTAAAATTCTCAAAAATATTCGAGGATTTTATCTCTCGAGTCTGATAGTTTAGCATTCGAATTGAGTCTTTATTTCTTACATGTACTGTGAAGCATTAGATAATATCAGTCTTTATATATAAATACTACGCACGGGAATATCAATCATTTTTATAAATTTTTGCTTATTGTATTTATTGTATAGTATAGTTTTGAGTATTTTAGGATGAGTTTCTTTTTGTCATTCATAGTTGTTTCGAATTTTTTTGTCATATTCTCAATTTCATTCAAATCTTACATTTTTCAGATTATATATCTTATTTAAACAGATAAGTAAAGAGAACATATATAAAGTAATATACTCAAATACTCGTTTAAGATTTTTTTTTTTTAATTATATATCATTTTCTTAAATTTTTCTTAGTTTCCCTATTTTTTTCAAAATATACGTGATGGAAAGAAAATTTAAATAAAGAAATTTCTTAAATCCATCTCGTTGCTTAAATTTTTCATTTTGGTTTTATTAAATTCTGTTTAAAAATTGTTTTTCCTCTCCTAAATTATTTATTTTTATTTTATACCTGTAAATTCTCTTTCTGGATTCTGAAATGTCTCGGGCTAACATATATCTTTGTTTTTGGTTTATTTATTTTCATATGATATTGTTGATTTTTTATTTTCTAACAATGCTTTATAACTATATGTTAATGTTTGCTGTTTTTTGTGTTTTTAAAATTATAATTCATTCTATATTGTTTTCTAAGATTATAGTTCATTTTCAATGTTATGTTTTAAAAGATTTAAATGAAAAGTGGTTACTGGTGGTTTATGTGAATGTTGAGGTCTCATAAGGAGAAGAAAGAAAAGCTATATACAGTATATAGAATAAAAATATGCTGTAAATGACTGAAATGATATTTTGTATGGCGAATCTAATGAAAAAATCTTTCAACTATCATCCCGATCCATTTTAAAACTATCAACTATTTCTGTATAGATTGAAATCCTCAACTAAAGTTCATTAGTGATTTGCATATTGTCATATAGATTCGACTTGAATATAGTTTATAGGGTTTTATTTTTGCATGACTTCTTCACGGATTTGAAGATCACGATGAATAATTTCTGTTAATACGTCTATGTCGAGAATGACTTCTCTGAGCCATTGTAAACCATTTGAGCTACAATATGGTTTAAATCGTTTAATCACAGAGTTTAGTAAGCAGATGATGGGAGCATTGTAAAGGTGTAATGTCCCGGGCCCGGCCCGTTTGAATAAGTTTAAATAGATTGATTTGGCTACCTTATCATCAAATTACACTTATCTTTTTGGTTAGTGGATCTGAGAGAACTCCAGAGTTAA